ACAGGTTAACTTATAGGGGGCGGTACACTACTGGGGGGTGTGGCAAATCCAATAAACACAAAACGAAACAGCAACACATAACAACTGCAGTGACAACAAAGTTGCTAACTTATAGGAAAAGCGGGCGGCAATACAACAATTCTTGCTATATACATTTGAGCGTGGAAAATGCAAGTCACGTGACTTAGTTTAGCGTTAAAAACTTTGCTCGTGGCGTTCAACTTGCAACTTTGGTTCACCTCAAGCCGCGTGGAAAATTCTCGCTCTCTTTGGGTAACTTTTCGACATCATCAAAAGTTGCTACAAAATTCTAGTTAGTGGTGTATGTTTAGTGGAAAGAAATTTGAAAGGAAAATATAGAAGAGTTTAGAGTTAAAGTTAACTGATTAGGAATGTTTAAAAATAAAGTTAAAAATGTTTTAAAAACAAATAACTCGCAATGAACTTAACTTAATCAGGCACTATTCCCTATTAATTTTTCAGGGCCAATAAACCAATAAATTGTAAAACAAATAGTTAAAAGATTTAGTGCCTCAAGAAAATCCCATATAATCCAATTAATCTTCTAGAATTTACTGCAGTTCAGCGGCTGCATTTCCCCAAATACACACACCAAAGTAAAACCATTTAGCGTTGCGTTGCACTCTATATTTCTTCAACCCTTCTCTTGGTTTTTTTTTTATTTTTTTGTCTCGTTAGGGGAGAAAGGCAAAGTCAAATAAATATGCACAGCAGACAGCAAAGTCGGTTGTTGAAAAGCGCAATAAACGCATTTCTCAGCCTGACTGCACTTTTTGTTTTGTTTCGTTTTGCAAACAAAAAGCGTTGAGACCAACAACAGAAACAAAATCGATAGTCGCGAAGAGCCGAAAATAACTGAGAACATTCCGCTCAGATACAAAACACTGCACATTTATATGAAAATTTATTTTAAAAAAGAATGATAATATAAATTTTTTCAATGAAAAATATTAGGAATGTTTGCACAATAGCTAAAGTCTTCCATTTTTTTAAAGCGCAAAAAATGTTCAAAAATGCTTCTGCTAAATGTATCTTAAATTTAAGAAATTCGATTTAATCTTTAAAAGAATTTTTTTTCTTTTTGCTGTGATAAATAAAATTTTTGAAATACTTCCTTTGCTAAATTTAGTTTTTCTTCAAATAAAATTATTTTTAGAGACACTTATTTGGCTAAAATGCATCTAGCCACGCCCAATTTCTCGTGCATTTCTGTAGATATGTACATAGTTCTCTCCTTATTTTCCCGTCATGTGTGTGACTGTGTGCTTAGCTTTATTTTTATTAGTTTATTTTCGTTTGGCTTTTCGTATGACACGCGAAAGGTCTTTGCACTTGACAACAACATCGAAAGGTGGATGCACAAATTTAAACTGAAACAGGAACAACAAAACGTTCCCGCAACTTCAACCTTCTCAACAATTTCGCCTTGATTTCGTTAAACAATTTAATCTTGATGTTTGACTCAAGACGTTTCGCACATCTTTGGGGCAATCATTTTTTCACTCTCACACTTCCAGCGGCTACGTTTATTTATTTTCGGTTTGTGTTACACACAAAAACTCAAAGTCAACAACTTTTCGAGCTCAAAATTAAATGTTGTTAATGTTTTTGTACCCTGGTTAAAAGAGGGTATTATAATTTCAAGGATTTGTTTGCAATGCACAATGATAATTCATATTTCGCTTTAATACCTTTGTCTTATTTGAAAGATCACATTTTAGAAAATGTTTAATTTTTAAAAAATATTTCGCTGTATAAGTAGTGCCTGATACCAAATAAGACTTGGTGTGTTACAATAATTTTCAGATATTATGGCATTGGTGAATGAAACCACATTTGAGGCCAATGATAATTGTTCTATTAAAATTAAAATGAAGATATAAATTTGAATTGTATAAAAAACTGGTTTCAGCGTATTGGATTTGTGTGTGTGTTGGTTTTTAAGAGCTCTTTGTTGTTATTAGATTATTCACTTTACTTTGGACATTAATTTTGTTTGAGAACTGGTTCATTATTTGTGCGTATCATGGGCAATTAGTTTAGCGAACTAACTAAAATATTTTGTCAATAAATAAAATTTTTTATACAAACTTTTATTGGCTTTGGTCTCTTGGTAATGGCCCCATTAACTATTTAGTTTCTAAAGCTGCCATAAAAATAACAAATGTATTCTAAATGTAAATAAATAAAACAGTTTTTATTGACCAAGGAAATTAAATGAGATTTTCCAGAGTTTTACCCTTAGTTTACTCTTTTTTAAGTTCCTGAATGGACATGTAAAATATAAAATTTTAATTTATCTTTTGAAAGTAATTCGTTATATGACATTTTTAAATTGAAAAGATTCCGGAACCACCAACCTGTCAAGCCACTTTCAATCAATCCAGCGAGTATCATTTACATAACGTATTCACCCATCAACACCATTTTTTTTAAGTGAATAAGAAGAACAAAAACAAATTTAAATATATATAATCTGAAAGGGAGAGAATTCACGCAGAATGTAATTTTAATTTTTTTCTACATTTTCGGACTGGTTTTGCTTTTTATGCTTTGTTTTGTTGTTACTCTTCGTTTTCCTTCGCACAAGCCTATGGCCAAAAAGCCACCACCCCCTTTGCCACCCCCATCTTACCTTTTTCTCTCTCTTTCTGTTTCTAGCATGTTTTTTATGCCTATTTGCCATTCTAAGATTTTCTTGCCATTTTGTTGTTTTTCTGGCTATTTCTTCTTCTCGCTATTGCTGTTTTTCCTTTGTGGCCATATTCGTTTGCTTTTCTCTCGCTCTCTCACGCATGTTTTTCAACAAAGAGGAGGCCGGTTTTTGTTTTCTGTCTCTCCCTTTTATTTTTGCCCCATGCGCTCCCTTTTACGCCCAGCTGTATGAGTGATGTATGTATCTGTGTGAGCGTTGAACGTGTGTTTTTGTATCTGTGTTTTTTTTTTGTATCTTCACAGTCAAGGACAAGTTAATGAACGATTTTCTCTTTTGTGCGGATTTTCCTATTTGCGGGGGTGGTGGGTGGTGAATTTGTTTTGGTCTCGAATCGCCTTAATTATATACACAAGAAAAAATAATTTTTTGACAGGTTAATCATGTTAAATGCACTTGAATTCTAAACGTTTTACATAAAATGACTCGGGTTCGAAACCCTCCGCTACGCAACGAATTTGTATATATTTTGAATTAATAAATACGCATATTTAGGTTCCTACATAGAGTAAATAGAGGTGGGCCAAATTATAATAATACGTTTTAAAAAGTAAAAACAGTTTTTAAAGCATCTACAACTTTATTCAAAAATATATGTAGTTTTAAAATTTCAATATTAAATGTAAATTTTTTTTAATATTATTTGATAAAAAATCATATGTAAGATTTTCTTTTTGTGCACTTTTTCTTCAGCTGAAATCTATTTCCTCCTTTTGTTTTGTTTATTAAAACGATTTTAATTTTGTTGTTCACTTTTCCGGTTGGTGATTTTTATTTTGCTCGGCGCCGCATTTTTGGCACCTCTTTGCCGTCTGTTTTTTGTGCATATTTATTAATTGCGTTTTAATTAATTTATTTGATTTATTTTTATTCTTGCCTACCAAAAACATTTTCATTCATTTTCTTGCACTTTGCGGACGGAGACTGTGACCCATATAAAATATATAAAAAAAATATTGCGTCAGCAGTTCATTGAATTGGTCTTGCATTGTTTTTCATTTTTATTGTATCACTGCTTGGGTAATCTTTTTGTATCTTTTGTGTCTGGTCGCAGATCTAAATTCGCACTTTTCTGCCATAAGCTTCTTTTCTCTCGCACTTTCAAGTTTTTCTTTGTCTCACTCATAATTTTTTTTGTTCACGCTCTCACCGACGTTGCCTTGTTTAAAGCATTTTCGTTGGCTTTATTTACAATTTCTTGGTTTAGCTACGCTAAATATTTGTTAAATGATTTTGGTGTTTGGTAATCTCTGAAGCCATAGCTGGTTGAAAACTTGGGGGTCCGTGAAATTGTTGTCTTAGGTCAGAGACGACTATAAAGCCGGTTCATATAAACTAAACATGTGTTTTTCTAATTGGTTAAATATTTGGTCGATTTTAATTTTTTAATAATGCCATTTTTAATTATTTATTAATTGAAAACCTTTTGAATAAAAAATGTATTCTTTGGTAGATGGTAAAAAAAGAAAAAAAGGACATTTTTTGATGGCCCACGAAAGGCCTAACTTATATTTCCACTGCCTGTAACCTACAATTTTGTATGGGCCCGGCGACTTGCGCTGTTATTAATGCAAAAGTCGCAGCCAAGGAGAGCTTTTCCATTTTCCATCCAACTTGCATCATCACTCGCCATTTTCCCACCCCCTCCGTTCAGGCCCAGTTGATAAGCTCTTAAATATTTAAACTGTGTGTCAGGATGTCGGGAAGTTGCCAGATGTGTGGGCGGTTGGTGGGGCTTATTCTGTCGCATTATGACGCAAGGAATTGCCTTTGGGAATGGTTAACGCAACACACACACACACCAAAAAAAAAAAGAGGGCGGCAAAAGTTAATTAACAATTTGTTTGCAACGCTCCGTTGACATTTATGTCGCTGGTATTGTTGTCAATGAGATGATGATGTGATTTCCCTGATATTTGCTTTCCTGGAAGCCATCAATTGCCAATGGGAATACGCCTGAGAACGCTTTTCTGCGGCGTTTAAAATGCTGCGTTAAATTTTCATTTGCTTTTCCTCGATTTTCCAACTATATTATGTTAATTGGAAAGATTTTAATTAGTACATGATCGCCAATGTAATTAATTAAAAAGTTATGTAAATTTTTAATTTAAAACCTAAAGAAAGGAAATCGATAGTTTACGTTAATTTTTCTTTAGTTGGCAGAAAGTAAAGGAACTTTTTACAGGATATAGGGAAAAATATGTAAAAGAAACATTTTTAAAATAACGTTCAAAAATATAATGTAAATTGTATTGTTTTTTTTCAGATCACCACATCCACTGCCAAGAAATTGTGGGAGAAATCCGATGGCAAGGGCGTTTCCTCGAGCAATCCCGGTGGACCGCTGAATCCCTTGCAGATTCCCGGCATCGGGGATCCGTCTTCGGTATGGAAGGACCACACCTGGTCCACACAGGGCGAGAACATCCTGGCCCCGCCCCCATCGCGAGCCTACGCCCATGGCGGAGCCTCCGATACGTCGAACAGCGGCAATGCGGGCATACTGAGGTGAGAAAACTAGCACCAGCTTTCAATTTACAAATTGATTCAATAGAGCGTGAAGTGTTGATAGGGAAATTTGTTTAAATGTGATTAAAAAATATGCTTGTAAATTAATAAAGATGAAAATTGCACAGTTTAAATAATAATAATAATTACGCACTTTATTTTTCAGTCCCCGCGATTCGACTTGCGCCAAAGTGGTTGAATATGTTTTCAGTGGTTCGCCCACCAACAAGGAGAGCCCCCTTTCTGGATTAGAGCCGCGTTTGCGCAACTTGAAGTTTGACGACAACGATAAGGTATGTTCTCAATAGATTCGATATCCAGAAATACTGAATAATAATGTAATATCTCGAAATTTCAGTCACGCGATGATAAGGAGAAGGCAAACTCTCCGTTTGATACAAACGGATTGAAGAAGGACGATCAGGTCACAAACACAAATGGTGTTGTCAACGGCATTGACGATGACAAGGGCTTCAAGTGAGTAGCAGTAGAGTAGACAAAGACAACTTTCAATCTCCGCCCCAGACTCCAACTAATGTGCCCCCACCAGACTAGACTCTAAACTCTGGGTTGGTTAGAAAAACTGGTTTCCTCACTCTGCCAGTTGATTTCTTCTCGCCTCTCTCTTGTCTTGACCGCAGAATCTTTTCATGTTATGATTACTGAAACTGAAATTTTTCCAGTTCAAGGTTGGTTCTTTCTTTTTTGCATAAACTTTCACTCTTTCAATCCCCACAATATGTTGAGTGTTGTTGGAGAACAGAAAGTAGTGGAGTTTTTCCAGTTTTCATCGTGACTGGCAAGCTGCTTTGAAAATTATGACTGGTTCTTCTGTCCAGTCATTCTTTTTTACATACCAAGGTTATTTCCATAGTTCCATAGGAGTTATAAGTAACATGGATGGTATTGAAAGCTAAAGCAAATTTTTAAGCGGTTAGTTATGTGATTGTATGTAATTAGATGAGGAAATCCATTACCTTTCGGTTTTTTTTTTCTATTACATGTGCGTTTTTCACACAGTTTGAGCTCAATTTAGGGCTTTTCATAATTACTTATTTAAGCCGGAACAGTCAGCTTAGCAAATGATTGGTTTGGCTAGCTATTATTTATTAAGAGAAAACTTTGAAGCACATGCAAATAATTGGCCTACTCATTACTTATTAAATATCAAACCTTGAATATTTAATTTTGGAAAAAAGCTGACCCACAAACCTCTTATCGATTACTTGAAGTTTTTTTCCCGCCTGGTCTTAACCCATATTTTTTGTATTTCGATTGCAATTGCTGTTTCTTCGTATTCATGTATGACATAAAGCCGTGAAGTGATTGTTGTGCGCCTGCCCACGGTTTTCGTATTTCCATTTACATTATTTATTATTAAATTTTAATTATTATTTATGGCGATGGGGAAAGCTTTTTTTTCCTCGTGTGGCCCACCTGCGTTTTGCCTGCTTTTCGACTTGACGCAACGAAAATACGACGACACTTTGAGTGAGTTAAATTGGAATTTCTGTAGTTATGTTGAAAGAGTAATGTTTCAAAAAAGTAGGGGGAGTACTCAGGTGGCCAAGCTTTAATGTAATATAAAACAAGTTGGCTAGTAAATGAGATAAATGGATAAAATGCATAATGATTCAAATGACTTAACTTTAACTTAACCTTAACTTTAATTTTTATAATATTCAGATATAATATGAAAGCAAATTTATATTGTTAGTGACACAACTTCCCATTAAAACAAGTTGGCAAGTAAATGAGATACCATTAAATGATTAAATGATTTAAATGACTTAACTTTTACTTAACCTTAACTTAATTTTTTTTTATTAATTAAAAAAAAATTAATTTATAAAGATGTTTAATTAATGAATAATATGAGAGTAAATTTATTTTTTTAGTGACATAATTTCTTAGCAACTTCCCATTATCAAGCTACCACGTTTAAGCAAATTGAAAAGAAACAAAATATTTCAGAGCCCAGTAACCAGCTTTTTAGGCCTAACAAAAGAAAAAGAAACCAGTCTGCGGTTTTTCTCTCTCTTTTATTTTATGTCGGTCTCTGCTTTGGCAACCGGCTGGTGGCTCAGTCTCAGTCTCTTCTCTTATTTTTTTATGCCCGCTGACGCTGTTTTGCAATTTCATTGCCGGTTGGCCCAAACATGTTTCAATGCCAAACGTAATAACTGTTATGATGTAAGTGGCAAGAAAAGCAACCACAAGAAGCAGCAATAAAAATCACCTGCAACAAGATCAGCTATTGGAAATCGAGACGATCATATGTGCCTATTCCGGTTTTCGTTTTCACAGACTTGGTTAGATTTTCGTTAGATTATATTACTGGCTAGAAAAGTTCTAAATAATACGTTCTATTAGAACATAAAACCATTTAAATTAGATATAGAAGATTGTAATCTAATATGATCAATCATGTTGATAGATTCTTAACTGACTTTCATATTATATATCGTAAATCCAAAGATAAACTGATCTGAAAGGCAAACACTTAAAGCTAAATATATAAAAAAATGTGACAGACAACAGCAAATAAAGGTGATGAAACCAAATACGAAAACGCTTTGTATATTTTTATTATAAACTTTTTTTTGATAAACTTTTCGATTAGTTTTCGTTTCATATTGCATTACAGTGTGGGCTTCAGTTAGCTTTGTGTTTTCGTTGTTGTTGTTGTTGTGGCGGCCAGAGGTTTCTTTTTATATGGTTTTTTGCTGTTGTTGTTGCACGTTTTGTTTGAAATTAAAGTTGCGAAAACATTGAAAAGCGAAAAGCGCTGCTAAAAATAATTCGAGGCAGGCAAAAGTGGACAGTCGAGTGACTCACCTGACTGGCACACAAACACACACTCTTCTTCTTCTGCCACCTGCCCGGTGACCCAGACTGCCAGCCCCTCCCCCTTTTAGCCCCTTTAACCGCTTACCATTCTGACCTTTTTGGCTTCCGATGCCTCATTTTTTCGGTAGTCTCTTCTTTGCCCTCGCGCTCCCTTGGGGGCCGCACTTTCTTTTGTCTCGAAAAGTGAAAATCTTTTTGGGGCCACGAAAGAGGAGCAGCGGGGCCAATGGGATTATATAAACTAAACACACTGCTTTGGGCTAGGTCAGACATGACTCTCAGAACTCGGGGGCCAATGGAAAGTTGCCAATGAAAACCTGACCTCGGTCAAATTAGACGCTCTAGAAATGGAGAAAAGTGAGAGGGTTTTTGGGAGTTTATCATGCAAATTAGAGCCCTGCATGAATGGATTCAATGAATTATTTTGAATTTTTTCTTTTATATGAATGAATTAATTAGAATTTTGAGTTTAATAGAATTGAATGAATTTGAATTTTGAGTTTAATAGAATTGAATGAATGAATGGCATGAATTCCGAAATAATTCAAACGACAATTTATTTTGAAGAAGAAAGGGCCATAATTTTGTGATTAAATCTGCCTGAATTTTATTTACTATGCAGTTAACATTGATTTGTTAAAAATTTTCAACTTTTCGTTCTCAAAAGAAAGCACAAAAAAAATTTGGAAAATTCAAAAAATTCATAAAATAATTCATTTGATTCATTCAATTCGAAAAGAATTAGAACAACATTCAATTTATTTCACATAGAATTGAATTTAACAAATCAGAAATTTCATGGCATACTATGATAAAACAAAAATTGAATGATTCATGCTGGGCTCTAATGCAAATCGTTTCTTTATTTTTTATAAGTTCTTCACAATATCTTGAGACCCAGACCATAGCGGTATTTTCAAATTTATTATATCCATAAACTATTCTGTAAAAGAATTTAAAATATAACAATTTATTCATGGCTATCTAAAGTTAAGGCGGGAGATAGAAAAGAACGAAGACTTTCTGTTTATGCCTGGTTGAGTTCATGACTAGGATTATTAACTGCCAGATGGTTAGTAATCACAGCCAGAATTGTTGAACACACACAGATCTAAGCTAAGCCGTATGACTAACACAGGTAGTCAAAGTATTTCCATGGTTTTCGAAAGCTTATGACGTGAACTGTTTATGAACAAAGACCAAACAAGATTGATTAGCCACAAAAATGGCTTTGATTACGAAGAAGTTAGCTGAACAAATTGTTAATTAGACAAAGCATATAACTAAAATGATCTTCTGTTGAACTTTTAAGTTAACATTTGTACACAGAAAATATTTCATTTCATATTTCATATCAATAACAAGTCGATATGATTAATGTCGAATTTATGATTCAAACATGTCAACTTGATATTTTATATTTTATATTTTAAAACAACAAATTCAATAATTTTATAACAATTATTGTAAAATAAGATAAAAATAATTTATATTCAAATCAAAATGGATATATCAATCGCATCTGTTGACAATTTTCTATTCTGTGTAATTTGTAACCTAATGTATTGGGTTTAGAAATGATATAATCTTAAATGGTTTACAAGCAAAACACTTTGCACTAGGGGATTAGCAGCAATTAATTGCATCGCTTTGGAAATTAGCTTTCCCAGCTCGGGCTGAGATCGCTAGACTTTTGTTCTGCTGCCGAGAGCTTGTTTCTTTGTAGTCACATGTACATATTGTTGTTAATGTGCGATGTGAATGACCTGACAATGAAATTATAGCTGGCAAATTATATACAGTGCTGGTATACTGGTGCTAGAAAGAAAAGGCAAACAATGTAAAGACTGTGGAGTAGTAAAAACAGTTGCAGAGTCATCGACTGGAGAAGTGTGTGTGTGAGTGAGTGTTGGGTGCAGTGGGTTAAGAGCAATGAATGAATGGGAGCCGCTGCTGCTGCTGAGCTGAGATTGAGATAAATGCATTAATTAATTTAACAGCATGACTAACGCATATATACACAGTGGCAAACATTTCCAGTTTGATCTAAAGTTTGGCTGGCTCGACGATTTTATTTGCATGTTAAGCGCCGCTCGTTAAAGAAAAACGTTGATTTTATGCTGATGCCGTGTTTAATTTATGGACTTTGTTCAGCTGCTGTTCAGCTGACGTCATTAGTCAATATTATTAAACAAGTTTGCTGCTTGAGTCTTTGGTTTTTCTCCCTTTTTTGATCAGTAACTACAAAACTGTTCAGAGTAATTGATTTGGAATCTTAAACAAGTTATATTTCATTTGTCTCATATTAAATGTAAGTGAAATATGGATAAATTATAAATAATTTTATTTTTATTATTTGCCAAGTTATTGTTAGGTAGTACTAGGACTAAAAATTGTTTTTACTTTTAGTCCACTCATTGGGGTGCGTGTCTCTGATGAGGTGGAGGTTTTTGTCATGACTAAGCAGTTGCCACAGTTACTCCCAAACCTCTTTGTCCTAAAACTGTAAACGGTTACAGTCGAAAACTAATGTAATGTTATTTAACATGCTGTTAGGGTCCTTAGAGGCTCTAAAACTGTATGGAAATTAAATGTTAAGTTTTTAAATAACTAAGTTAGAATTTTATTGATTGTTATTTGTTGGAAAATATTTTTTTTAATTTATCCTAATTATAATATGAAAACTTTGTTTAAAAAAATATCCTTTTATTATTTTATTCCAGTCGCACCCCTGGTTCACGTCAGCCATCCCCAGCGGAGGAGTCACTGCCACGTCCCCCAAATCTACTCTTCCCCCCACTGCCGCCCCCCTTCAACCACATGCTCATGGATCATGGCCAGGGCATGGGTAGCGGTTTGGGAGGGGTCGTCGGATCTGGCAACGGGGTCGGCGGAGGGGGCGGCGGAGGCGGGGCGGGCGGAGCGTATGCGGCCCATCAGCAAATGGCCGCCCAAATGAGTCAGTTGCAGCCGCCGATGATGAACGGCGTTGGCGGCGGAATGCCAATGGCAGCACAGGTAAGATAATTGATTTTAATTCGAATGTGGATTATGAAATATTTAGAGCATCTAAAAGTGCAGAAAAAATGAATTATCTGTTTTATAATTTCTAAGCAAATGTAATGTTTTAGGCATCCTTTTAATAACTAATTTCTAATCTTACCCGACAGTCACCCATGTTGAATCACCAGGCAGCTGGACCCAATCATATGGAATCTCCCGGAAATCTCTTGCAGCAGCAAAATTTTGATGTTCAGGTGAGTTGAGATGAATCCTAGCGAACCCGAAGAGTTTGTTGTTTCCATGGCCCCCAGAGTGACATTTTCATTGTGTGGTTTTGCAACCGAAAATTTGGGTCATGCAAGTGGTGGCATGGGAGTAGGCAAAAGGGGGATGTATGTATGTTGGAGCCACAGAAGCTGCCTAATTTTGCACATCCGCCGGATGCTGCTGTTGCGTCCCCTGGTAGCCATTTCCGCCAGCCTTGCACAAAACACACTCCCAATGGCATCGCAGCTCTCCGTTTCCATTTCCATTTCTCCACTTACCACCCACTTTGCGGTGGCCGTCTCGTTGCTTGCAATTTATTTCGAAACAAAACGGAAATCGGATTTATTAGCCACAAAATTGCTTTTAAGCTGGTGCTTCTGTGTACCAGTGGCTTTCAAACCGTCGTTTGGTTAGGCTCGCTCGCAGTCACATTTCTGCGGTTACAGTGGGCGCTCGATAAAAACATGGATGTATGCACTCAAATAGTTTCTGAAGCTTCAATTTTATTTGCCTCAAGTTAAAATATTTATTGTCTAGATTTTTTAATTGAATTCTCCAAGAATAGTGTTCAAAAGTATGTGATATTATATATATTTTTCTTTTAAATCAATAAATAACTGAGGCTCATTTTATGTTTAAAATCATTAGAAAATGTCAAATTTCTAAAGATTTTTTGAGCATAAGAAGTTAAACTGAAATCGATATGCAAAATATTCTTTTATTTTTATATTTTTATTTATATATTCTTATATTTAAATATTTAAAATTCTTTTATTACGAATACCCACTGTATCGCACTCAATGTCATTTCTTTCTGTTAACTTCAGCTTTATATATCTAGCAAACAAGCAACAGAATCGCAGCCTTTCTCCCTCGGCTTGCCAAATTGAAAATCAATATGCGTTGTTGCATTTACCGATGCTATATCCCATACCCCCTCTATATCCCCCTCCCTCGATCCCTTCAACTGCTGGCCGCAAAGCAAATTGACATTTCCACACTTTAGTCGTCGTTGAGGCTGGGGTAATCTGCACTTCCGCTTTTTATCGCTCGCTCCACACATCCTGCAGGCATTTTTGTGTCGCTTTTGTCTTCTCTTCGGCCCCAAAAGGAGGGGCAGAGGGTGGAGAGAGAAGAGGAAAAGCGGAGCTGGAAAACTTTATCGTAGCTCTTTGTTGGCGTGTGTGAGTGAGCTGCCTGAAAGTATGCTGCGCAAATTGCATCAAAGTGAAAAAGCCAGCACACTGGCAGAAAATGTTGTTATAGCAACAACAAAACCGGCACAACAACAGCAAAAACAACATGCATTAAACTATAGTTATAGCTATAGATCGGTCCAAAGTAGCTGGAATGTCATTACGGGTGAAAGACTAAAGCTTCTTGTGGCGACTGAAAGGTGAAAGTTAAATGCGCTTCCTGTGTTTTTTGCGGAAAGTTTTGCATAAGCTTAATCCCAGTTTAAAGCGATGATAGAAGGCAAATGAAAATAGTCTATATAGAAATGATTTGTTAGTTAACTTCCAATTATAAAATATATATTTATTCTATAGTGCTTACTGAATAAATTATAAATAATACAATTTACCAACCAGCACTAAAACCGCAAACCTTTACCATTCTTTGTTATTACTTTAAGAGTTGGGATAATAATTTTATTAAATTAAATTAAAAATTTCGGAACTATTTTTTTTTTTTTATTTCTTATAATTTTTCTTTTAAAAATTATTTTAGCTTTTGTCTTTGCCCTTTTATCGCAAGATTTTAATGCAGAGCAAAGAAATAAAATTATAATCCCTGCTGCGTATATGTGAAAGTCCATAAAGAACGTTAATATATGTGTAATAATAATGATTATTATTATGTTCTCATATATTCTCTCAGAAAGATAAAGCAACTCTCAACACTCAAACCATAAATAAAGCCGGGGGAGACCGAGACCGAGGGACAAGGACAAAGCTGGAGGACAGATATGCATTTATTGGTTTCATGAGGAAGGCGTGCAATATGTTGCCGATAATGGATAGCGGATAATGCAAGGCATGCACTCAGGGTTTTCCGTACCCCTCCACTTTCGGTGGCTTTCGTGCATATTTCTTATTAAATTGGCGTTGATATTAACACCGAAAAGAGGGAAAGAAAAGAATCTTGACGAATCGCATGCAAAATAACGATGAAAACTGAATGAAAAGCGGTCTCTTTCTTTTTTTTTTTGGGTTCGAAGGATAGCATTATGGCACCACATACAATGCAAGCGATTTTTGACAATGGTTTATGCAATAAATATGAAGACGAACGACTTGACGCTTTTGTTTGTTATGAGATTTTGAGAGCAAAGAATGAAAAATGGAACTTATTGAAACGCAGGGAAAGGAAAAGTGAAACGAATTTATTTAATATCAGTGATATTGCTTTTTCCTAGTGGTTTTATAGCATGTTATGGTTGATTATTTGACAATTGCTTAAGTTACAAACGCAGTTTCTGCATGAATATTTATTCAGGCCAAATGAAAAATAAGCAAAATGCATATATGCTGAAACATACATACATACTATGTCAGAATGTAGAAAACAAATGGACGGATTGCCATTGAAATGGCAAAGAAATCATTATTTATATGCAGCAGCAGGGAAGGGAAGGAGAAAAATCACCACAGAATGGAGAAAATAGAGAGCAAAAAGCGGAAATTGCTTTGGCAAATCGTTGAAAATTAATGCCAACTGTTGCCAAAGAATCATCAATATAAATTTCAATGTGACCAATAAACACTATTGTCAAACTCGTGTAGAGAAAAGAAAAATGTTGCATAGAATAAATTTGTATTACAAAATTTAAGGGGAAAAGTAAGAAGATACAGAAAAAGGAAGCCTAATCTATAATCTATATTAAATATTTGATTTATTGAAATTACTTAAACAGCCAAACATTTATTAAATGTACAAACTAAACACTTAGAGTTTAGATCACTTACTTTGTAATACCCAAATACTTTTCCTAGCCCAAAAGCTGTTCCATTTACCACTTCCTCTTTATAAAAAACTAATTATTTTGTGGCCTAAAATGTTTTGATGCGGAAGAAAAGTTTTCCTTTCGTTACGCTTACTTTTATTATGACTCTTGTTTTGCTCCAACACTTTTGGCTGCTGTCTGTCTTGTCTGTTCGTCTGTCTAAGCCATGCTTCATTGGCTGCCTTTTTGTGTTAATCAGTCAGTTGGTGAGGCTTTTGTTGTCTTCAGCGGGGCTTAATCGGATGATTGTTTTCGCTCGCTTTTTTTCTCCGCCTAATTCAACTTTGATCTGAAAGTCGCTTTAATTGATTTCAAAAGTGCCGGATTATTTTGTTTTCCCTTGCCAACAGAAATTTAATCCATTGTACTTTGCTTGGTAAATCAGAAAGTTAAGGGAAAGAAATTTGAAGGTAATACTATTTAAATTGAAAAAGGAAAATCGAATATAATTTCAAATAAATAAATCATAGGATTGCAAATAATTATGCCTACATTATGCAAATTCGAATAATAGTTTTGTGTCTTTTCAAGTGTTTAATTTATGCATTCCAAACGAACAATAGTTTTTTATTTATTTATATATACTTTTTTTTGTCAATGGTGTCATAGGTTTAGAGCTGAGCAGGCAAATGAGATTTAACATATGGCATTAACTAATGGGAATGGGATAGCAACTTTCGTTCCGTACAAATGCCAAATGCATTCCGAATTCAAATACGTCGTGCATAATTTACACTCCTGCAAATTTGCATAAAAATGCATTTAAATCAATGGAAATGCAGCATCTGCTATGCTCTCCTTGCCTCGCGTGCTCCTCTTAATTCAACACCCCCGCAGTGTCCCTGGCATATATTAATTCAGCAATTAATTAAGCGTTAATTGGCACAAAAAGCATATAGCTCATTATGCATGTGTGTATGGCACTTAGTAAATTAATTTCCAATTGTCCATGGGCAGTGTTTCATTTAAATGCAGGCCTGCTTACTTTTTGTTCGCCATATGCTCATTGCATTTGAAGTTTAAATGGGATTTGACTAGATTCTGATGATTGGCAAACTAGTTCAATTAAAAGCCAGCAATAACATTTTGGCTAGAAGAGCTCAAGTTATGATATTGGTTTTGCTAAAATTATACAAATTATTGGTATATTTTAGTTGTGGATATTAATGGTGATTAATATAATTGTTTAAAGATGCAATTTTATTAAAAGCTTATTGATTTAACCAGGTCTAAGAGATAGGATGAACCTTCTTAAATAATTAATATTAATAGTAATAACTATTTCCATTAACCAGCTGCTTGTCTTGAATATGTAAGTCTAAGTTTGTTCTCCAAACTCAAAATTTGTTATCAGGATGGTATAGCCTGATTTCCTTTAGACTAGTAGTATTTATGCCACTTTTTAGTTTCCTTGGGCGACCTTCCACGCTTAGCTTAGTCTGGAAGGACTTTCCGGTTGCCATGGACAACGATAAATTGCTATCCCCAGCCCTAATATTCACCTCCTGTTATCAGGCGAAAGCCATAATCAAGTGGTTGTTGTTTCTGGCTTGATGGTGGAGCAACCTTCGAAGGATTGAAAGTTGGTGTGAGTTGGTGCAAAAGTGTCATCCAATGCCGTCACTTGACATTTACCGCCAATAAAGCCCAATTAGCGGTTTCCCCACGCCTCGGATACTCTGTCTTCGTCGTCTTCCCCTGAAGTTTGTGTGGACACGCAAATGCTAATTAGTAAGTGGCAAATAGTTGACATCGGCTAGAGAATGGGACGGGTGGGAGTGGTGTTGGGGGTGGTTGTATCCGGGTGGAAAGTGGCTGGGCGTCGCAAATTTGGTAGCCGAGACATTAATTAAGCGACGCCCTGATGCATGCTTCACAGCGTATGCGCTTATCAGCGATGTCCTTGCAACTCACTCCTCTTTAATGGATAAGTGTAGAGAGTTTCCATGAAATGGCTAAATAATTTTAGAAATATCTAAC